TTGTAGAGATAGGATTTTGCTATGTTGACCAGGCTGGTCTTGAACTCCTAGCCTCAAGTGATCCTCCTGCCTTGGCTTCCCAAAGTGCTGGGATTACAGGTGTGAGCCACCATGCCCGGCCTAAAATTTCTTTAATTTTTTGTTTGGAGTATCTGTTCATCAGTTTCGAGTTTATGAGGAAGAGCCTTAAGAATCCAAAGTTGTGTTCTCCTTTGTCAGCGGGTTCTAGTTTTGCTCTAGTTTTACGAGTCCCGAGTTGTGCCAGAGGGGCTGCACTGAGCAGTCGGGGCTGGGGAGGCGTTCGGCAGTCCTCTGAGGAGGCTGCTGCGTAGTAGCAGGGGAACGGTTCTACCTGCATTGTCCTTACGAGGGTTCGTTCTGTGCCACTCCTTTTAGCAGGAGCAAAATACACTTACTCAGAGGTATGAACGTATTAGGAACAAGCTTTGGATTTGTTTTCATGACTTTTAGCGTGTGCAGCTATATCCCTGGTAAATAAACTTTCACATCCGTAGCTTTGCCTGTGGAACTGCGGGGCTGAGGAACGTTTAGGTTGCGGCACATCTCGACCGTGAGCGCCACGCTTGTGCCGGCTGCGCACGAGGCAGAGGGAGGCTGCAGGCTCTGAAGTAGGCTCACTGTGTCAACTGCGTATGCCCAGCACACGTCTGGAGTAAGTCACCGTAAGATTAGACCAGAACCATCATCCCCCACGCGCTGCAGAGTGTGACCGGGAAAGGTGTGGAGGGCGGCCTGCAGCCTGAGGCTTGGCTTGTACAAAAAGAATCTCAGCGTCTTGTGTATAGAATGACTTATTTCAAGTAGCTTTACGGATTAACTCGCTTTATGTTTAGAGTTTAGAAGGAAATGTGGCAGGTGCAGTAGAAAGTGAGCTGTCGACAAGATTGAAGTAAAAGTTATGTGCCTCAGGGCTGTGTCACCCGGCGAGCGCGGGAAGCATCGGGAGAGGGTGGGGCCGCCGGCAGAGCTGGCCTAGAGGGGGGTTCTCCTTCCGTGGCTCAGCTCCACGAGTGGCAGTGGCGAATGGGGATCTGGTGGAGGGAGGGTTGTGATTCAGTGTTGGGACAACTGCCTGCAGCCCTTTGTCAGAGAACTCTTAGTAAATTATAACTTTTTTAGCTGGGAATTTGGAATCAGGAATCTTTTTTTTCCCCTTTGTTACATGAACTTCAGTGTTTAAGAAAGATCTGTGGTCCAAATATTTTTATATTTCAGTGACCTGTGACTCCACCGCTGCTTGTCTGCCAGTGCCCACCCCGTTTGACAGCTCAGGAAGAGGAGGGTAGGGTCTGCCCAAGGCTGCTGCCACGCAGGTTGCCTGGCCACTTCTCTCGCCCGGGCGCCTCACTGCCTCAGCCTTGCCGTGTGTGCGCGTGCACACGTTTGCCGGTGCTTGCGTGCGTCCTTAGTTGAACTTGTGCTGTCTGTTGTCCTTGGCGGGGGTGGTTTCGCAGAGGAGAGATAGCTAAGATCTTTGTGTCAGAACCAGAAAGGAGCAGGAATTCCAGGATTGGGGAGGGGCTCACTTGCCAGGTTTTGGCTGAACCCACGTTACTGGGGAGGAAGGGCTTAGAGGGGACCTGAAGGGCTGCTTCCTTTCTCTCTGCGACAGCTCTGGCGGGAAGCTCTGAGAAGCGGGAAGCACAGCGGGTAGAGTGGGAGGCATGATGGGTTTGCACGGCGCCACGTCTTTGTGACCTGTGTCCTGGGTTTGTCTGTTTAATATTCAGATGGATTTTCAGGGACGTTAAAGGCTTACCGTAGCGTATGTTTTCGCACGTCCTAAGTTACGTCCTATCTTAGTTGAGGCTCTAGTCAGTCAGAAGTTGCGCTGGGTGTCTCTGTGACCTCACCTCTGTTGCTCTGCTTGGTTTTGTGGCCCTCAGCCATGAGGTCGTCTCTTCTTCCATCTGCCCTTTCCACGTGTGTGGGGGGCGTTGATGTGACCAGAGCGCTGCTACGGAGAGGGTCCTGCGGATGGGAGGGGGAGGGCTGGCCTCCCTGTGGCTTGTTGTCCCATTGTCCGTGCGTGTAGCTGCGGGACAGGGCTGCTTCGAGGGCAGGGCTGTGAAGGCCCGTCCGCGGGAGCGGTTGCAGCAGAGGGGCCAGGGTCCTTGACGTCTGTCGTCACGAAGGTGTGCCCAGATTGTTGTCGCATACAGCAGATCACTGGCTCCTATTTGTCTCTGACCCTGAGAATCTCAAAGATTTTGTTACAGGGACATAGTTGTTCCTGCGTTGTAAGAGGTGGTTCTGAAATTGTCTGCTGGCAGGCGGAGCAGCCCGCGGAGCGGGAAGTAGAAAGAAACCTGGAACTCGAGGAACGAGGCCAGGAGGCAGGAACTCGAGGGCGAGGCCAGGAGGCAGGAA